AGAATAGCATCCATTTTCTACGTAAAGCTCAATTCTTGACAGGTTAAGACTTGCTGCAGTAGTAGTCGCGTCCCCCCCCCCCCCCCCCTCCGCCACCCGCCGAAAAAAAAAAAAAATCATAAGCATATTGAGTGCTGTTGGATATTAAATTTATCATTGTTTTTGAATTGGCTCCTCGCCCTGTTTTTACTTGAAACAGTAAAGGAGCATGATTCAGAGAGTTTACATTCAATTGTGAAGTGGATGAAAATTATAGTATGCGAAGTTTCAGGTTATGGGATACAAATAGGTTATGTCGATTGTTTTTGATGGAAGGATTGAAGAGAACTTGAATGTGTCGTCGCTGCACCCAGTTCACAATTGAATTTTTGAACGAACCATTGTTAATTGAGCTTTGCTACAGGGACCCAAAATATGGGACCAATAGAGGGGACAAGTGAGGTGTCTCCCTCATATTGGATAATGAGTTGGCCATCATTAATGATGACCAACTTATTATCCAATATAAAGGAGACACCTCACTTGTCCCCTCTATTGGTCCCATATTTTGGATCCTTGAAGAATTTTTCTTGTTAATTTGTCGCTCTTGTTTTGTGGACCCCATAAACCTCTGCACAAAGATCTTGTCATGTGGGATTTTTGTTGCTTGTTTCTTGTTTTGCAGACTTACAATCAAATCTTAATTTGGTTCTATTGCTCGGCTCCACGTAGATCCTCAATTTTTCATTTTCTTTGATGTTTTTCTTTCTTTTTGGTCATTTTCCCTCAACCCGTGCTGCTAATAACACAATTGAAAATTGATCTAGTGTGATGGAAATTAGTTTTAAGGGAAGTTCTGAGGCTAGCATATGATCCTTAAAGACCAAGGCTGAATGATACTTTGGCATCCTATTGTTTTATCATCTTTTACACTAAAATACCCAAAGTTGCAAAAGTTGTCCACCGTTAGAAAATGTAAACACCCTTACGACAAAAAAAGTATCCCTTCATAGAAATTTAATGAAAAGAAGGTATAATGGTAAATATAACAATAAATGGGGTCAGTACAATTATTAAAATATCATGAGCTAATCACGTGGGAATATTCCTATAAATATCCTCACATTCAGCTAACAAAAGGTACTAACATGTTAGTTTTTTATAACTTTAGATACTCAAGTGCTACTTTTTTATAAAACTTTTTGTGTTCCGTACTATTTTTTTATAACTTTAGGCGTTCGATGCTACTTTTTACAACTTAAGGTGTGTAAAGATGGTAAAACAACGGATTTTCTATAGAGTGCCCGGGGGCACTATATAAGATAGGGGGGAGAGAGAGAGAGAGAGAGAGAGAGAGAAAGAAATGAATTATGCACAGAAATTAATCAAATCAGAAAGGACCCATGAACTATTCATTTCTCTCTATCTCTCTCATCTCTTGTAGAAAAACCAATAAAACAATAATGTACCTAAGTGCCTTTAGCCAAAGATCAATGTAGGATAATAGACAACCTAAATGCAGTGTATTTATACCTATATCTCTTTCTTCCTCTCCTCCCTCTCCATCAATGGCCCCTTACACCTCCCTTTCTGCTCCTCCTCCGTCCCTCCTCTTTCTCCACTCTCACCGCTTGACCTCCTCCTCCCCTCCTCTGCCGCCACCAATCTCATTACCACCAACTCCCTCCCCCTCTGCCCAACCTCTCCTCATCCACTTCTTCCACCCACCCTCTTCCTCTCCTCGTCAACTTCTTTCCTCCTCTTGGGTAAGATTGGAGGGTATAATAGTAACTTTAATTTTTTTTAATAGAAAATACCAAAAATATGACATTGAGGAGGCGTTAGCGACGAATATAGATGTGGTTTTCATATAAAAAACCCTCAGAAAATTAACGCTAATAACACCAATCTGGCCAATTTATCCTTTCAAACTCAGCCTCAGATTTTATTTCGAATGGGAATTCGTGAATTAAAATAATTTATTTTTCATTTGCAGCCGAACTGAATACCAAGCCTACAACAACATTTACAACTTAACCCATCACAGGTAGTCAATTGAACAAATCCTAATTGTTTTGCGGGTATGCATGCAGTTTCAAGGATGATCAAGTGAAATTTTTCAAATAAAAATAAGTAACATGTTGAGTCAAACACCAAACTCTTACGGCTGCATTTCCCCATTTCCTTGCGTGCTAACGAGCAGGGCTCTTTCGAATCGAGTAAAGAGATGTTCGTGTTTATCTTCCTTTAAAATTTAAATGATAATATACGCACAATTATATTACCAAGAAGAAAATTAGATGATTGAAAATCTTAACGAGGAAGCAGCGTCGCAGGATGACGAGGAAAATTAGAAAAAGAGAACAAAGCATCCATGCAATTGGAGAAACACGTTGCCCACAAGGGTAAAAGAAGACCCTTCAGTTAAAAAAAATGAAATCCTTTCTCAAATCAAACGATAAACATATGTATAGACATAAATAGAACTCAAAACGAAACCTTTATCACTATACAGGTTTTATTAGCATCCACGTCAAAATCATCTTTGAAGCAACCGTCATGGCAAAGCCGGTTTGCAATTCTCATTATTTACATAAATCGCGATAGATGAAAGTTTTGGTTGTGAAATAAGCAGGTCTCAAGAAAAAATTAACGGGTTTTCTATAGAGTGCCCATGGGCACTCTATAAGAGAGAAAAGAGAGAAAGAGAAATGAATGAGAAGGGAATCCCAATGCAAATTAGGAAGCCCCTTCTTCATTCATTTCTCTCTATCCAATGCAAATTAGGGAGCCCCTCTTCATTCATTTCTCTCTATCTCTCTCCTTTCTTATAGAGTGCCTATGCCCACAGGCACTCTTAAGAAAAACCGAAAAATTAATGATACCCCAAAAATCTTTATGACTGCCTAGAGGTGAAACAACAATCGACTCTTGATTGTAGTCAAGACTTCTCAAGACATTCATTATTGGAAATGGAACCTGAGAACAATTGTATACTATTACTATTATCGGTTTTTCTATAGTGTCCATGGACACTCTATAAGAGAGGAGAGGAGAGAGATGGAGAAATGAATTATGAACAAAAATTAATGCAAATCAGAGGGGGTCATGAGCTATTCATTTCTCTCTATCTCTCTCCTCTCTTATAGAGTGCCAATGGGCACTCTATAGCAAAACCGTACTATTATTTAAGAAAATGGTGTTCTAACCCGTGAGTCTCAAATAATTCTAAGAACTGCTCTCATAATTTACACACAGTTTAAGAAAGGTAATTTAAGAGTCATGAAAAAGATAAAACTTGAAAAACTCATATATAGTTTAAGAAACGTAATTTAAGAATCATGAAAAGGATAAAACTTGAAAAACTCAAAAGACTACCATTTTATATCTCTACCCATTCCATATTCTCCGTATAACTATTAATCCAACCGCCACAAACTAAATTAATACCGCACTTGCTCATCTATTTCTTCAAATTCTCATCATTTTTTAACTTACCATAACTATCACTATTAACCACCACTAACTAAATAAATACCCCACAACTTACTCATCTATTACTTCAAATTCTCATCATTTTTTAACTTGAACAAAAAATAACGTTGTCCTGCACATAACAAGTTATCCTTCAAGCGAAACAAAAGAGACAACAACAAATGCTTCTACATTACACATTTGTTTCTCAAGAACATGTGGAAAATGTTTCACCTTTTCAGTACTACCAAAAAAAACTTGTATTTTTATAAATATATATAACAAACCAGTTACTATTTTTATAAATATATATAACAAACCAGTTACCCATTACCATGGTACCTAACACCCAACAAAACTTATACACTATTACAGGTAATTTTTTTATGAAACAAAATATGAACATTTAAAAATATTTCAACTATAGATAATTCTGTAGTGATTTTTAATAAAGTATGAAACCCATCTCAATGGTAGGGATAGCAAACAAGATGATACAGAGCATAATCGCACTCCATTCTTTAAATCATTGGAAGCTAATCACGTTATGTTCTTCATCAGCATTCTATAGCGCATACAATCTAATAAAACCCAATCAAAAAAAAATTCCTTTCTAGTCATCACAATGAGCGAAAATAGGGAGTTTTGGGGTGTAGCTTCGGATGGATTAATCCGCCCAAGGCAAAAATAAATCCTCAACTATCATAGACTAAGGACCTGTTTGGATTTGTAGGGGGTGAAGGGAAGTTAAGGGAAACTGAGTGAAGGGAAGGGACCTTCCCCTTGGTTACACCCCAATTTGGGGTAACAATTTTTATACTATTAGAGGGTGAACCAAGGGGAACTAGGGTGAATTAACTTCACCTCCTAAGTGTTCCCAAACAAGGTGAATGGAGGTGAATGGTTCCCCTAACTTCCCTTCACCCTCATTCCCCTCAATCCAAACAAGCCCTAAGGGCTAATCCAATATGGCTAGTAAATTGGATGAAGAAAATCAAAGATTTGATAGATTGCCCTTTAAAAACCGCAAAACTAAACACCTTACAATACCCATTAAGGCCTAAAAGTGGCCCAAGGGCAGAGTCAAAAAAATTTCGACAAAAGTATAGTAGCAAGGAAAAATAAAAGCTAGTATGAATAATACTACAAAAACCTAACTACCCATCAAACTACTATATGATCTCAGTAACATGGACTAGGGAATGCTAATCCTATCCTAGCGTGCAATATCACTAAAAAGCAACAAAGATGCTCTAATCTTCAAACATACATTTCACAAATCGGCATTCATAGTGTGGTTTGTAGACAGCAGAAATAACGCCAAAATAAACAGAAAAAGTGCAGAGCACACCAGTAACATGCCAAATTTCCCAACATCTACGGCCGAAAAAAGTTTCTAACTTAAGCTAAGATGTATCACTGCACGATGATTGAATCAAGATCCCAAGAAGTAATAATACATCAGCCCTTCACAATTAATAATCAAGCTAAACAAATCAAAACAACATGACACCAATCCTCATATGTGAACACAGTAACAACAGTAGTAACCAATAACCAAGCATCATCATACCGCAGTAAATAGACAAAACTAACAGAAAATTGTAACTTTTTAAACCACAATCCAGCGATAACTAATTATCTTCATAGATCCAACAACTAGAAACCGAAACCAAACATCATAAACCAAACTAAAATTACCAGACCCAAAACAAACCCTAACACAAAAAAACACCAAAGGTCTCAACTTTCCAACTCAAACCGATCAAAGATCAAATTTTTACTCACCTTTCTGGTACACGTAGGTGAGCCCGCACTTCCCACAGTAGTGACGGTCCTTGTGGTTCGCCATGAAAGTCCCGGCTCCGCACTCAGCATTGGGGCACTCCTTCCTCAGCCTAATCACCTTCCCGGTGTCGTCAACCTTGTAGAACTGCAGGACAGCGAGCTTCACCTTCTTCTTCTTGTGCTTGATCTTCTTGGGCTTCGTGTACGTCTTCTTCTTCCTCTTCTTCGCGCCTCCGCGGAGGCGGAGCACGAGGTGGAGGGTCGACTCCTTCTGGATGTTGTAGTCGGCTAGGGTTCGGCCGTCCTCGAGCTGCTTTCCCGCGAAAATGAGGCGCTGCTGGTCCGGGGGGATCCCCTCCTTGTCTTGGATCTTGGCCTTGACATTGTCGATCGTGTCCGAGGACTCGACCTCGAGGGTGATGGTCTTGCCGGTGAGGGTTTTGACGAAGATCTGCATGTTGGCTGCGGTTTTGAGGGGCTCCGGCGGCGGAGGGCGCCGGCGGGGGAGGCGATGATTAGGGTTTTGAGGGAGGATTTCAGGGGGAGGCGAGTTTTCTAGGGTTAGGGCTTGGGGTGAGGAATGAGGAACGGTATTTATAGGGAGTGGGAATGGGATGAGGGTGGATCTTAGTCCTTCGTTCTATGGTTGGAGGATCTGGACCGTTGATTTCTCGCGGGTACGATTATTAGGGTGTCGTTGGGCCTGTTTAATTGGGCTCAACTAGTTTTTCGGAAAGCCCACACCAGATTTAGACTGATGTTTTTTCAAATAGACCCTTGAACCTTATTTATCTCACATACTTCTAGTTTGGTGTGGGTGACACAATATTTTTTGAGTTAAGAGTCCACTAACTTAATGATATGAAGTCAATTTGTAGGTTTTTTTTAATGCGATGACTTACAATATTTGTTGCCATCAAATTGTCTGCAAAATGCTAAAGTATTTTTCTAAAGTTTTTCTATATTCTAGATTTGATACCCCAAAGTTTTTTTATAACATCTTGCTACTATCATCAAAATTATGTTATAATTTGTTGCTATTGCATCAGTGCTTAGTATGTGGTATAATTTGGTAAATTATGCCCTCGCATGAAAAATAACTATCACCTTTATATTTTATATAATTATTTTATTTTATATAATTATTTCATCGGCGTTATAATCGACGTAAGTGTATCGCTTGTTAATTACATGATACAATCTTAACAGAAAAAATATAACGAAACCTAGACAAGTGAATTAAAGTGAGATGGAACTGAAACTTTCGGACATTAAATGTGAAGAGAACTTTGAGATATCAAGTTAGTAAATGGTTAAATTTTAGGACACCAAAGTGAAAATATGACCACCTAAACAACAAAAACAAAACTAATATTATAAGCACAACGGTTTTGTGTGACAAAAAAAAATGTGAATTTTCAATTTTGTAACAGATTATATGCTATTCGCATGCTATCAATTTACTTGCATGAACCTTATCGAGGAGGATTAATTAATTAGTTGTCGATTTATCAATTAAAAAAAAAGAAAAGAAATAATTTATGCAAGCTCAAGGAAGTTTGAATACTTGTTTTGTTTTTCTACGGCAAAAGTGTTTAATTTTAAATAATAAAAGTTTAATCGCCCTCCAACGAAATCTCCCTTGGTTTATGGAGAGCCACCTCAATATGAAAGAAGCGCTACAGGAACAAGATACTTCAATGGGAAAATTTGCAAAATAGTTCGTTTTTGCTAATTATTTAGCAAAATAGACCGTTTTGCTAAATAATTAGCAAAATAGACCTCTTTTGAAAAAAAAGATTGATTTTGAAAAACAAGACTCAGAAAACATACGGGACCCGTATGTTTAGAGCCAACTTAATCACGGATTAGTGACTCAGAAAACATACGGGACTAGTTGTCCCGTATGTTTTCTGAGTCCCGTATGCTTTCTAAGTTCATCTCAATATTTTGTAAAATTTTCTAAGTTCACTAATCCGTGATTAAAACATACGGGACTACTAGTCCCGTATGTTTTTTGAGCTGTTTTGCAAAATAGACCTCTTTTGGCCTGTTGGCCAAAAAAATATCTATTTTGCTAATTATTTAACAAAACGATCTATTTTGCTAAATAATTAACAAAAACGGACTATTTTGCAAATTTTCCCATACTTCAATACGTGCAGAATAAATCTCACTCAGCGAAGTTCTTAACCTGTGCTTTTTTTTTCCTTAAAAACCAAAAAAATTAACGCCATAACGTACCATCAATGGGCAATATGGGTAACAGATCGAGGCATGAAAATGAAGCACTAATCTTAATATCACACCAAGCAAATCTGTGTATATTCATAAGGTCGCAAATTTTACGAAGTCCTTGCAAAGATTTCTGTATTAAGTTCTTTACAGGGCCCCGTAAGACGGCACCTAATACTTCACACTATCTGAAGGAATTCACCAATGATTAACATTTAACTGCAAGATTACATAACACAACTTTAAAAAAAAATTATCGCACAAGAATGATGCGCAATATCAAATTCAACAACTTAAGAGCAACAAATAAACACTTGTTTCAATTAAGAGGCCTGGAATAAGAAGCTACACTGAGGAAAGCTGTTGACAAATCCTGTGACAATATTAGGCGGGAGCACTTTATCCCTCAAAAGGATTTGATGGTGCCTACTTATGAAATCTAATATGGTTGTTTGTATGTCGATTTCCTCAAATGGACCTGCAACGCAGTAGGGAAAAGGTATCAATGATAAGTACCAATGGAGATGAGAAACCAAAATATGCCTCCAGCCTTAAAAGGACAAAACAATAGTTTATGGTACAATAACATTTTTAATGTCAGTGGCGTGGATCAACTTGGTTTTGTTGGACTGCCTTGATATCTTTGTATCAAGTTGTTGCGAAGAGAGAACTCACTGGTGAATGGTGATTGTTCTTGTTAAAAGAGAAGCTTAGTGCACAAAAATAAAATACATTAAGTTCTTGATAAGAGTAACAACAATCATCTTTTAAACGGCATAACTGAAAGCAGATTACGTTGTTATCGACATGCACTCTTACCACAATGATCTTCTTTTTTTTCATTCTTTTCCCCCCTTCTCTACAGCTTACTTACTTATAGACCTTAGCCTTCATTGAGTTGCTCCATCAGTTTGACGTGCCCATGCTCAAATTTAAATGGGCCTCAAGTTCTTTTCAACTTTGGGATTATTGAATATTTGCTGACCATATAATCTGACAGCAGAACAAGGATGGAAAACATAGCCTCTCGGTTTTCTTTCTTTCTTCCTTTTTTTCCCGGGTTCTTGGTGTGTGACAAAGAAGGTGATGGAGGTAAGTACCCGTTTATGCATGTCTGAATGTTGCAAGGGCACATCGAAGTTTTTGGTAGAGAAAATTTCCTAGAAATAAAAGTTTACACATGGGTTTATGAACAATAAATACTTGTTACTTCCAATTTATAGGCACACTTTGATTTTCCAAATCCCAGTATTCACCCCTTCCCAACCAATTTTTTCCAGCATCAAGGAAAATCTATGCATGAACTTTTATACGTTCTCTTTGCAATTTGAAAGGGTACGAAAAGCTAAGGCACAATGCATTTTCACCATGTGCTGCCACTGAAGATAACAAGAGAACTACACAAAGCCTTACCTAAATCAAGCTCATGTTCTTCATCTTCCAAGTCTCCTTCTTCAACCATGTTGTCCTCCAAGTCAGCAGCTACTTTTGCATATCTATCCAAGAACTCTTCTTCGGTCTCTTCAAGCTCCTCATCCTCGGAATCCTGGTAGATATACAAAAAATAATAATAATAATAAGACGTAAATCGCAAAACCCAATTTGCAACTTAATATAGTATCAAGTCCGTAAGCAAGATGCGCGGTCTAGGTAAAATATGTTGATATGGTAGCAATATTTAAACAAAAGTATTAGTTAAAAAAAATCCTTTTATTCACCTCATCATAGTCAGACTCTTCTTCATTGTCATTATCATCATCACCACCATTATCAATATCTTCATCTGAAGCTCTATCATTCTCCTGAACTTCTTTCAGATGAATGGTTGCCTCAATTAAAGAAACAAAACATTTATGCAGAACTTCATCATCTCTATCTGAAGGGTATTGCAACAGATGCTCCACCACCTTTGTCAATGTTATCACTGTATGACATTGCAAGACAACCAAAAACCATTATATTATATAAATAAAGTGGTGGCTCTATAATGTAATAATGTAATCATTCCTTATGATCTGAAAAAATTGGAAAAATGATATCCAAACAAATTATTAACTGAGAAGTCAAACACCTAGATATACTTAAGAAACCCTACCAGCTAACTTGATCTCAGACTCTGACAGACCAGATTCAGAGAAGCTTGTTGATAAATCTGCTAGAGCTGTTAACCAAAGTATGAAGCCTTTATCCTCTTCCTTCTCCAAAACACGTTCAATGTTCTCAGGGTATAATATATAGCATGATGAAATAGCCAGGATAAGGGATTTACACAACCCACTTCTCTTGTTATTTTCCTGTAGGATATCTCGACAACGTGAGAATGCAGAAACTGTGAATGCAACTGCTATTGACTGCCTGATACTCTCTGCCTCAACTGAGAACCTTGGAACATGTAATAGTGCATGTACACATGAACAAGCCCTCCTGGCAGCAGATGGATATGCATTAATTCCTGCACTCACAAAAGCTGAAATGCCTTCAATAATGGAACACATAAAGCCATTAGACGAATTTTGAGAGGCCACTCTCTCGATGAAGAAATTGTTGTAGTCACATCGTCTGTGTAAATTGACGGCTTCCTGGATAGAACTAAAAATTGCCAAATCCTCCATCTCTTCCCAAGCTTGCCAATCTGCAATGATGCTGGCCCATACTGCCAATAACTCTCTTAATTTGAGTTCTACAACTTTATCCATTGACTTCACAGACCGCATGATAAATCCAAGCAGACGAGAAGCATCATCTACACCTGACGAAGCCGGTAATATACTAGAACTAGTTTCCTCCTGATCTCATCAAGGAAGAAAGAATTGGAAATGACACTTATTTTTGTATGTGAAAAATAATCACATTTAAAGTGGTCAAAAGCATCAGAGTCAAAAACATTAGAATCGAATATAATAGAGCTATGCTTGGTTGATTATTTACAAGTATTTCGAAAAGAGGAACCTACCCTCTCTCCAAGTTCACCTACAACATGTAGAATGACCAAATATGAAAAATCAAGCTGTTTTTACTTTTGGATTATGCATCAAATAAGCTTAAATGAATGACAGAATAACAAGTTATTTAATTTAATGGTTTAGAAATGTTTGAAGCAAAACAAACATTGGCATGTAAGGTGTTTTAATTGTTTAATAATGATGAGTTAGTTGGGATCAAGAATTTGTTTGCTTCAAATTACAACTCCACACAACATGATAGTCAACTGTTATATGTTTGATGTGCATGTAAGAAAGCTATCGTAAACTTTAATGGGATGGATTTGTTTATTTGAATGGTTTGCATTGAGTTTTAATGGGAATGATTAGCTTAGAAATCCCTCTTGAAATGACTACCCTTGCATGTGTGTCTGTGAGTGGAGATAAACAGAGAGGGAGATACCCTTTCCTTGTAACTAATATGGCCCACATTAGTTTTGCATGCTTACTAAAGGTCTAAAGCAGTATAATCCTACTAGAAGCATCTTCAGCAGAATACAAGAATATGTAGATTAAATAGACGACTAATAAGTGTAAATGGTAGTACATTTGATGAACAAGTAGAAATGTAGAATGTTTCCTAGTGAGAAAAGTCTATAAAGAAATTTCCAATATAATAATGGCTTATGAGGGAATACTTGTATCAGCTTCTTTCATTAATGAAGATTACTAGTAATATAAATAAGTCCAGAAACCTTTTTGTTGGAATCTGTCCAGTCTTTAGCTCCATTCTTCAGCCTGTTTATGTGGGTTCATTTGTGTAAGGTGCATGAGCGAAAGTGAATGAACACGCACACTATAACGATACTGCATACTCAAGGGTGTGAATGCCCAGTTTCAAAAAAATAGCTACTAAATTTTCAAGCTAAGTACACAACCATACCATTGAATCTAGTTGCAGCAGCCAAGCCTGCTGCAACAAACTTGAAAATATTCTAGCAATTGAAGCACAGCTAGACATATAATCTGTGTTGTTCTGTTGCTGAATATCATCTAGTACATAATCCTCCCATATTTGCACTGTAGATGCTAAAGCAGTAAAGCCGCGTTCAACAACCTGGCATAAGAAAACAAAATATGTACTTACTTTTAAACCAATCTCGTATTGCAACAAACATGAGCAATAAAAGCATGCAAAACAAATAAGTTCTGAGAATTATATGGCTATAGGTGATATTGATTTAAGGTATGACCGAGCATGTCATATTCTATGTGAATAACTCTTATTTAACAATACTTTACCAATATTTGCGTAAAGACTGGGGCTGCTAACGTTTGTACATCAATAATTTGGCTGGCAATAATATGTTCTCCATATGAATATTTACTTTTCATCCACTGAAGAATTGTGAAAAACTAAATTTGCATGGACCTTTCTCTTTTATCAAGGAGTTTACCATTATGATAATTTCAAAATACGCTCCTTAACCCCCAAATTCTCAATTACCTTGCTGGCATACTTTGGGATGCCTCTTTTATTTAAGAACGCTATTGGGAACTAACATGAACGATCCCAGTGCACAATCTTTATATAAGTAATAATTAACAAGATAAGTAACCAAAGAATCTTGGAGCTCTTCTAAACAAATTGGTATTCTGTAGGATAAATCTAATATTGGCAGCACAGTAATTTAAATATAATAAACCCTTTATCCCAACTAGAGCCTACAGTACTAGCATATTAGTCACTGAGTGCCAAACAAATACCCTCTCAAAAGGTTATCTTATCTTATTCATTGGAAGAAGATAGAGAAAAAAGAAAAATCACTTTCCAAGGAAAAGAAGAATAGAAAACACCCCAGAACTCACATAGTAAGAATACAATAAAGTAGTAAAAAAGTTGACCAACATACATGTCTTTAGACAGAGCTATGCAGGTTCATTTTAATTAAGTATTTCATGGTTCTTGATCACCAGATTGCATCTAACATACCTGGGGCCAAGGTTCTGATATGAGGGGTATGTTCTTTGAAATAACACCTGCAACACTGGAGACAATCAATGGGATATGATTAGCAACCTTCTCTTCTGCAGACTCAATCACTGTGCCAAGAAGCTGAAATAATAGAGATGACTCATTTTCATCTCCACTATCTATCCTGTTAACTAAGACTTGCAAGAGGGAGAGCCAGTCAGGGGGAGTGTAATCATTCTGCAGTAGCGTATACATAGATAAAGATTATTAAATTAGGTAATAGAATTTTAAGGGTATCAGCAAGTAGGATAACAATTCTTACTTCAAGAAGTTCAGCAATGGCCCCAGCAGCAGCAACGCGAACAGGATAACAATTAACATCTCCCATGTCTGGTGTGGCCAATGCTTTCATCAATGAATTATAAATATCAGCACTTAGAGCCTACAAAAAATTGAGCTAATGTTAACAAAAAGCGCATAGACAATACTTGGATAAAGTATTACTGTGTTCATGTGAGAACATTTTCTTTGCTCCTGCGACCTGTGTGCAAACTGAAACTGGGGCAATTTTCCTTAGATAGTTTAGTTATCTTGACAACTTTATATTTGTTAAAAAAAATTGCTGAAAGAACCCCATAGCAGTAATAGTAGATATATGCTCAAGAAAGGATGGTATGAAATTTTTAAAAGACCAATAGCATGAAGGGTTTTCTCAAATGCAAAGAAAAGGATCAAAAGCAGCAGAACCTAATCCAGATTGGAAGAGATTCACCATCTCCAGGAGAATAAGTTGAACAAGTAGGAGAGGCAGGCAAATGGAAAATATGAATAACTTAAAAATGGGAGAGATAACAAAGCAACATATTGGTCAACCAAGTAACAGAATACTATATAAAACCAAACTGTTATACAGAAATAAAGTTGAAAATATAAAAGAAGCGACAGAAGGGAAAAGGGAAAGGAAACTGGAAAAGGAAACAAGGAAACAAAAATATATTAAGAATTATAAGAAGAAAAAGGAATAGATTGCAAAAAACAGCCAGCAGATATTAACAACTTTGATTGTACTGACAAGATAAAGGATTTACACAAAAGTTTTGGTCTATCTACAAGAGGATCATCAGGACTCTAGAAGCCAAAAGGCTACTTAATGGGTGGACCTGCCTGTATGAACTCCCCATAATACGTGACATGAATTGAGAAACGGAGAAAATTGAAGCTAGAAGCGATTTCCCATAGTATTTGAAGAGAATAAGAGGTTTCTTTAGAAGTTTTCTCGGAGAAGATTGGACGAATTATGAAACTCATGGTAACCCTTTTCTGTAACATGTATAATATTATACATTAGGACACAAATAGCACATGTTTATAACTATGCAAGAAGCAGAGGCCAGTAAGAAGATACCAAAGTGCTGTCATATTCCTCTAGATATCTTTGAGTATGTTGAAAAAGTTCACTGATATGTGGCAGTGAAAATTTCAGTAGAAGATGGTATCGAATGACAAGGTACAATCCTCTTTTGAAACTGACCTAATATTCAAAGGATTAAATGTTGCATGTGTTCTGGCTTAGGTGCATCTAGAACTCTTTAAGTAAATGCATTAAATTACCTCAGGAAGACAGGATGCAAGTGCACCAAGTACCCAATTTGCTGTAGCCATCAAATACGGAGAGCATGAACACAGTGAATAAAGCGGAAGCACTCGATTTTGAACCAACATAGATGTATAATCAGGGTTTCTTTCATTTAAGAACTGCAAGAGTACACGTTCCCATAATGAAAACGTAAAACTCGTTTCCTAAAGAAATTAACATAAGAAAAATTATCACATCAGCTTACATCTTGGAGGCCTCCATATGCCATTAAAACGCCATAGTAACTGTCAAAACAATATTAGAATAACAATTTGATTCAACAGAATGGTTGCCAAAGAAAATGCAGAATGATACTGGGACTAAAACTGCCAAGTAAGCAGAAATACGGAAAACGTAAGCATATAATGTCATTTATGCTTTCATGCACATGAAATAATATACCAACTCACTCCTGCAATGTCTTAGATGATGGCTCATTTCCATCTGACGGTACGGGAAACTTTGATAAAAAGGGAATCACCAATAACTCTCCTATAGAGCTTTGATGCTCTTTTCTTTTACTTTTGTCAATTTTCTTCCGTTTAGAAACTGCAGATGCAACAGGTGGACCCTGAAAGCACAATAAATGAACTGAGTAATTTTACTTTGGAGAATATGTGTACCCAGATAAGAAGGAGAAAGGCATTATTCTTCAGTTTAACACCCAATATATTTGTTAATGAATAATAACAACCTTTGACATCGCAATAACACCAAGTAAATTAATTGCACTTTTCCTAGCAGTAAATAAGTTTTCAGACCATCCTGAGATTTCATCCTATATGAAAGAAAAAGAGAACAAACATGTCAGATGCCTGAGAATGATAAAAATATGAACAGGACCATAATCCAAAGCCAACAACCGTACAAGCTCAGAAGGAAGATTCTTTCGTATATATTCTTCAGCATCTTCTTCCCAATCAGATATGTCCTGTAAAGAATGAAAAAAAAACAGGTTTAGAACAGTTAAGTATGTCTCAACAATATGATTAAGAAAAAAGTATGTCCAAAAATTAGGTATTTAGTGAAGTAGAACTTAGGGAATAAGGTCCCAATAGCACCATTTCTCTTTGTGGCCAAAAGTCATAAAGTTTTAGATTAATACCTAAAGAAAATTGATTCTGCAAGTTTAATCTGAAATAGTAGGTACTCGTTAACTGTCTGGTGTGCATGGGGAAAAAATTCAACAGGTAAACCAAACAGAAAATGCAAAAGCTATCACATGCAAGAAAGAAAAATTCAAGAGAATATTTTTATTAAATGATGGGTCTGTTGGTGAGATATTATGCTCAGTGGCAAGGTTTATTTCACATATTCATCTAATATAATCATCTACGATGCTGTCAACCCCAATGACAAAGATTACAGGAGTATTGAACATGTGAGATACACATCCAATGTAAACTAGACACATAATTTGGCATATGGCTCAGAATGATGCTCTACACATTCTTCTAGGAAATTATATATTCCATAAGGCAAACATTGAGGAATATGCATGTAACCGCACATAGTTTTTGATTTAAACATTAAACTTGGGTTTTTCTTGGGGATGGTTGGTGAGAAAGTACATTTTGGGAGGATTTCCCGAGTATCAATTTTATAGCTTAAAGTACATTTTAGAAGTGTAAGTGAAATACTAACTCGTTCTCTTGTTAAGAGGAGTATGTGGATGATAATCAGAATATTTAGCCGCGATTATAATCCAGAAGCTATTGAGCATAAAATATGACATATAGAAACCTGCTAGGGATACCTAATATCAGCATCCTTTGAGCCTATAAGAAAAAGGAAAATAAATAGTTGTGACGAAAAATACCAAACTGACCTTTTTGTTTAATGTCAATGCAGGAAAGATAGCAGAATTCAAAAGCGAAGAAAAGTGTGGTGATACAAGTCTCCATCCCTGGAAAAAATGTCAATTTTATTAGTAAGTGTACAAGAATTTAGAGAATCTCATACACAGGCAGGAAACGGTTAACTACCATGCCCATCGTAAAAGCTGTTATATTGCCAAAACAATAATCATCTAAAGGACTACTCTAATTATTGTGGCAATTTTGGCAAGTGACACCTGATATAGTCAACTAAATCTCTAGCGCCTTGACCAAATTGGAAAAGAAAAATACCAGTGCAGAATCAAGGAAACAAATATTAACTTACAGGGCCTGTTTCCAATACATGTGAGATTACATCAAAAGCCAGTGAAATAATCCGCTCTGACAAAGGTTCCAACATCTGTGTGTTCTCTAATGTGTTAGTAAAGAATACATCAAAAAGAACAGGAGATATTCTTAAAATATTAAATGATATTGTGGCATTTACCTGGGGAAAAATACAAATCAAAATTTCTTAATAATTATATTTTTCATGTACAAAATATTATGGGTTTCGTTTAAAAGATGCATGATTTATAACATCACCATCGTCATTATGACATTATGCTGTCTCTGTTCAGCATGTGAAGGCGTATTTGTCAGGCAATGACTAATTTTTGTATTTTTTATGTTGATAACAAACTTGAAATATTGCAAAAGTAATGGGATCAGATTCAGATTTCAGATAATACAAACCCATTCCAGAACCTACATGAAGTTGAAGATGGGAAACCTAAAGGCTTTAGAGTCTAACTGGGCAACATGTGATGCTCTGGATGAAGTCGTTATTTTCTCCCTTCTTTTCTCCTCCTCCTCCTCCTTTTTCTTGCGGTCGTAGTTTTTTGTCCCCGGGACGATTTGATATAGTCAGTAGAATTGTTGATAAGACTGCAATTTTAAAATTTCTGCCATGTTGGGATTTACATATAGCAAGTTATTTTCATTGGAATTTATTGCAACCAGTAGAAACTAATTGAGATATCTTCCTGGTTGTCATTATACTAGAATTCTCTGTAAATTGCTGTATGGTCAGCTATAAGAGGGACAAGGAGTGGCTTGGGCACCTGCCCACCCCCAACCACACACAGACATCTGAAAATATTATTTCATAATATAACTTACACTAACATTAGGGCTCATCTTGGTAATTCTGATAGCACAATTTATGATGCTTGGCAATAACCTGAGAATGAAGATATGAAGGGTGACAAAACTGCAACAAAGAAATTGTAACCAAGATAAATCAGAAGGAGCATCATATTACTTGTGAGAATGCTTTCTATGCCGAGTTACCAAAGAACAGAAGATTGTTAAACTTCTTTTTGCAGTCTTCAGTCTGATCAAGTCTCGACTTCCGGAAGGAGCAGAAGTCAACCTCAACGAATCCAGAATCCGGAACAGATCTCCACAAAAAGAAGATAACAGAGGACACAATGCAGAGGGCATATAGGACCTAACCTGTAAAATTAACATACGACAAATTTCCATAGAGCACAGTAATTATCATAATATGATTGGAAAGATATGCTGGAAAGAAAATATGACATCAGACAAACCAGTTCATACAGAGTTAGGTTGCAAATATTAGGTTTGACGAAATTCTTACAAAAAAAAACATGAGAAGCATCCATGCTTTCAAGTTAAACGAATACCAATACCAGAAAACTTAACATTGTCCAGATTAGGCTAATACATGCAACAATTAGCATCAACCTCATAATATTTTCCTTGACCATCTGATAGGTCGTACATGACCCTAGCCACTAGTAGATTAAGAGAAGACATTAAGAATATATTTGATATCTGTTAGAACTATAAATCTTAAATCAAATAACTTTAATATATGCAGTACTTCTGCAATCAAACAATGCTGCAAATAAAAGCACTAATGCAAGCATGCAATTAGCATTTTCATCCATTAAGGATATGATCTTCAAAATAATAACAAATAATAAGACAAGAATTAATAACACAATCGAATAAACTGCAATAAGATATGGAAACTTACAGTAAAATGCATGCATTTGCAAAATATAAGGAAAACTTGCTCAACTTCTAGTCCAAGATCGTTTTGGCATGATAGCGCCTGTTATCAAATTACAGATCCTGAGCAATGCGAATAAACTTAATGTAGAATAAAGGACAAAAGGCAAAATAAATTAAGAAATAGAAAATCAACCTACAACCTTATCAACAAAATGATGGAAAGAAGCTTGCAAAGGCACAAGAATATCTTTAGCTATTAGCTCCAACTGCAAAGGTACGGGCTCCTTTGGTACTTTTGGATTCAAAAAGTACTGCAAATATAACATGGTAGTCACATACAAGAGATTAGGAAAGACGAATACAGTACCTTAGACAAACACATAAATCACAATTCTCATTGATGACTAAATAATATTTCATATGTTACAACAATTGGCCATAGAAATGAACAGTAAAGAGAAAAAGAAAGCACGAGGAAGTACCTGGAAGGGTTTAACAATTGTCTGAAGAACATTAAGAGCATTAATGGTGCTCCACTGGGAATTTGCATCTTGACTAATAAGATTACTGCTTTCGATCGCTGACTTCAGTTTAGGTACAAAATCAGGCCATGAATTCTCCCTTACAAAGTCATTAACGATGATTGGACGAAACTGCATAGAAAGCATAAAAGGAAAAAAAAATTAGTTGCTCAGTAGCACATAGTTGTACTATCATACTTCAAGATAGGTTACTACAGATAATTGAGAGGCAAAGATAATAAAAGGAGCAAAGGAACTATAAACCTCTGACAAAAGCATGTATAGTATAATGATGTCAACTGTAGTAAAAGCATACATTATGTATGTCATGCAGTCTTAGTGACCTTTTCATTAGGATTTGAGGCTTTTCGAGCACATGCAATTTTGACAAACAGGAGATGACATTTAAATATTAAGGTTATGCCCTAAAAAACAGCAAATAACTTTTGCAGATGGTCCAAACCCAGATTACTTGTGTGCTTACCTTAGAAGGCAAAATCATGCATAGTCAACAGTAATGGAAAAATAAGTAGTAAACTGCTTTTAGACAGTTAAAATATGGATTTGTGACCCATTATGCATGAATGAATCATCGAACCGCCCCAAATTCCAAGAACAATTTGTTTTCTCCCAAAATGTGATTACATGATGACCAGGATTACCGAATCCAGGATACCATTATGGCAGACATCACCAGGATACTCCTATAAATATGGAAGATTGGGTTACCTGATATATACCAAGATATCATTCAAGTTACAATGAAATTCGATGAAAGCACCACATATTTTGCGTATTACTCAGTACTAATTAACAAGATTAAGCTGTAAGGCTAGGCATGAATTACCAAGCTACACAGATTCAATTAGTAAAGGAGTGTGAGACTAATTGAAATGGTGAAAAGGAAACAGTTCATTCTTGTCCATCAAAGGTTATGACGTTATGCATAGATTTCTTTTCAAATTTCCACACATGACAAGCACCAAAAATAATTGCACTTGGGGCTGGGAATACACAAGCATCAATAACCCACTTCAGAAAAGTAAATGACAGGAAGAGTAGTGGGCAGCTGCTTAAATACTATATGATATCTGGATTCCAAGTCGCTCCACTCAGTTGAGCATGACTAGCCTAAATTCATATGGTAGGATATTTAACATTGATGGTGTTACACATATTTCTATTTTGCAACAGGATGCCAAGTGGAAAGTTAAGAACATGAAGAACCATACCATTATGCCCAAGGTTCTTTCTAGGATGTGATAACACTAAGAGCTTTCCTTGGTTTCAACCTAAGAAAGTATAGGCTTTCAAGATCGGATTAGGGGTGGGAACTAGCGGTATGAAGGTCTTATCCTTACTCTTGTCTTAAAAGTCTGATGCTTTAATCTGACCCTGAAGAAAAATTAGAAATTATTTAGAGCATGTTTGGAAACTATGGATTATACTCCACTTGGCTTATAAGTTATAATCCACAAATGGCTTACAAGCCAAGTGGATTACAATCCAAAGTGCTTGGTAAATCTATAATCCATTTTCAATAATAAAGTGTTTGACAAATGAGTGGTTTATAATCCATCTTTGTTGTCAAAATAACCAAACAGGACATGGATAAGAAAATAAGGCTTGGAATTTTCTTAAAAGATAAGGGATAAATTGTCTTTTAATTGGTTAAACTTTGTGACTTATAAGCCACCAAAAAATAAGCTGGAATACATCAGTTTATTTTTCAGGCTGATAAGCCAAAATAAGCTGTGTCCCAAAGATGTCTTGGTGGCTTATAAGCCACTTTCACCAATTCCCAAACATGCTCAATAGATTAAATAACATTTGTGGTGGGATATAGAAATGATATAATGTAACTTTCTGTCCTCTCTCATTCTGATTGTCACACATCAATACTAACATACATGCATTGCACGTGCAAGAGTACTAATCCTAAGGATCTGATGTTTCATCCTGACTCTATATGACCATATTTTATACCGATATGGTTATTCGTTCAAAACCCTTACTACCATCCTATCAGTTTATATAAATGGATAGAAGAGGTCTTATCCTTAACCAAACTATTTAAGAGAGTGAGCAAAACTATTTAACAGCATTTTCTTGTTCAGTCAGCATTATAAACATATTTTATACTTTCAGAAAGAGAAAATGGAAGGAATATTATTTTGTTGAAACATCAAGATGAAGATGCTAAGGAGCGCAAATATACTAATTAATTAGGTAGCGGATACATACCGCTTCAGTCAACAGTTTCAGAACCACAGGTTCCACTTGAAGTAAAGCTTGAGCAAGTTGATCACGGAACTCAATGTGGAGATCAGATGTAGATGGCTTTCCTTCAACATGGCATCTAGTGAAGTTCTTCAAATATGTAGCTGCAGCTAGCTTTATCCCTTGGCTATCACTTCCTACAAAGATGATCAAAACATTAAAGTACACAAAAATTGGCTCATCTAATCAAAATGCATGATGAATATCATAATTGCAGGACCAATGGCAAACAAAAGGAATAAAGAGCTCATCCAAATGAGGGAATTTTTTGGAATTTAGTGTTTCCAACCCCTCTTTGGCTCGTAACACCAACCGAGAAGTTTCTCTCCTTTTTCATTTCTTTTTTTTCCTTCCCAAAAAAAAAATAGTTTCTTATATAGGGATTAGGACAATTGGGGTGAACATCTACCGTCAACCTAATTGAATGTACTCATAATTAGTCGTCTCGAATCTTTCTCACTTCTTTTTTCTTTCACAATATTAGAATACGGCCTTATACTCTAAACCGCCACATTTACTTTTCTCCAAGTCACCTTAGGAGAGAAAAAGTTCAAATTTTAGGATCTCATCCCTGCCCAATTCTGCAACACTAAACCCTATCCTTCACTTTGCATGTGTAAATAGGACCCCCAAACTCTAATAAGCTGAATTCTATCGATCTGAAGCGTCGTCAACAGCAATTCGCCCATGATTTCAACTGAAATTAAGCACAAAAGAAAAACAATAAAGACCAATAGACCGAAGAGAGACGAACCTGTGGCTATGGAGAGGAGAGCGAAGGGGAAACGAGGGAGTTCGGAGAGGCGATCGAGGCCGTCGGCGGCGGACGAGACTAGGGTTTGGTCTGGGCTTAGGGTTTCTTTCAGGAGGCGGGAGAGCTCGGGAATTAGGGTTTCCATCTCGATCCGCTGGTGCTCAGCGCAAAACCCTAAGCCCTAATTTTGAGATGGCCGCTGTTGAGAAAGTGGGGAGACAGGGTGGGCGTATATAAATCTTTGACGATTAGGGCGGGAAAAGAGCGTATATGAGATGAGCTGTTCTCTGCTGAAACCTAAAATAACTTCTTCTTTTTTTTTTAATCTTTTTCATTTACTCCTCTCATTTCCTAACTTTCCTTTTAGCAATTTTTTTTATTTTAAAATGGCGGTTTTACTCCGTTTTTTTATCATGTTTGTATATTGTTTATCATTCTAGATTTGTTTTTGCTCCATTTTGAAGAAGAGTACAATGGTTTCCTAAATTTTCATTATTTTTTGATGGATAGCATGTGGACAAAATAAAATGCTTTTTATCAAAAGTGAAATACGAGTATGCCTTGGAGTATTTTAGAATGGCTAAATTACCCGATTGGTATATTATGTTGACATGAAGTATCAACTTAGTATTTTTTTTTCTTACTTTGGCCATGATAAGTAATATAAAGTGTTGTATGGTGACAATGAAGCTTATATTTTTTGGATGGAGCAAAATTTACAGCAAGAGCACCTTGCATGACTCTTCACGTGCATCTTATATGGATTTAATTGAATTTATACCCCCCCACCCCACCCCTTCTTTGTTCATCTGACAGAGGAACGATTCTTTTCCAAATTGTAAAAATTCTCTAACCCAATTTAATTGTCCTAACCCAAATTTAACCCTAAGTTGCAGAAAAAGAACTAATTTGATTCCCAACCTTTTGAACCTTAATTTAAAAAAAAAAATTAGCTCAAAATGAATAAGCCAAACTATCTGTTACATAAGAAGCCACATTAGCATCACGTGACGAGACGCGTGGCATTTAGTCGTTGGAAAACGTACTCAAGTCAGAATGTATATCCTGTTATCATTATGTCCAACTTTACATACCTTATTATCATTAATTAGAGTAAGAAAATTTATCAAATTAGTATTTAGGATCAACAAAATATGCAAAATCATAGCCATTTTAGAAGTGGAATGAATGAGAAGTTGAGTTATTAAAATACACTCAATCTATCATCTACTGTCCTATATGTTTTTTAGAATATCAATTTGAGAACAGTGTAACGATTTCGTGATCTGCATTACTTTTTGATGGATATCAGTACGAAAAGCAGTTGCTTTTAAAATAGACCATTTTCTCTATCAAATGTATTGTAGAAAAAAAAAATCTCAGATAATGGTTGTTGGCCTTTTATCTTTCCCTTCCTTTATAAGAAAAACCAATCCAAAGTATAACATTGTGGCTCATTACGTTGATTTACATGCATGATGTCGATCTACATGCATGATGTCACTTTGGTATAAACTAGAAATTAGATTTAAGTAAATCACCTCTGAAAGTATTTGATAAGGACAGTCCATAACATTCTTAAAAAATATTAATTATTTATATACATACTAAAGTTATTGGGTTTATAAATGTAGAAAGTCTTTTCATAGCATCAGTAAAATAATTAAACATATATAAAATAAGACAGTTAATCCACTACAAACGTTAAACATAGCTTCATTGCTGTCGAACTCCTCCGGTCACCGCTGCTACCATTGAGATCACCATCCTCTTCATTATATTCTATTAATATTATATAGATTTATCAATCTTCATAATGTAGATAACACATAATCTTGTTTAATTATGGCATCCAACAAAAATTTGTTTCTGTACTCTTTATGATTGCACCATTACAATCTTCATAATGCAGAGATAAGGTAATCTTGCTTAATTATTGCATATCCAACAAAAATTTGCTTAAGTACCCTTCTAAGATTTTATATGTCTCACATTTCTAACAAGAGGAAAATTTTGAATCTTCTTTTTAAAAAATAACCCAAATCCTAATCAAACACAAAACTACATTAGCCAAATCGGGACCTTGGGCAAAAATTTTTGAAACAGCTAGCTAAACACTACATAGAACGTAATTCCACAGTAAGTGGTAAATAAAATACAGGGAATATAAACCCCTCATCAAAATCCATAATGATACACAAAGTTACGAGTATGACAGCAATCATACAAATGAACATTATATACATCTACTGGGCAAAAGCCAATTTGTACACTCTAATCTAACGTCAACCCCTTCAATGTAATATGTATCAGGACGTCAAAAGTGTATAAAAGTGTGAAATACAGTCCTTTCTGCAACACATAGCACTTGTAATTGTTTTCCATGTGATAATTGATGATATGCTCATCATTAGATTATGTCATATTTTCCCAAAAAAAAGAACAACCTCTCTCTCGCAAAACAAACCAACCCAAAAAAAAAAGCCAAAGTAAGGAGGCAAATCATGACACACCACCATGAGGAGGGAAACCTTGCACATTTTACGTGTGAAAAGGCCATGACCTCAGAAAAGGCAAAGCATGCATTTCACCCCAAAAAGCACATTTCACATACGAGATAAATGAATGTGATATGCTTCATGTCTCAGACTCTCCGATAGATTGCATGCAACTCTGGAGTCAGCCCGGGGCTTAAAACAAAAAATGGAGATTAGCGTCACTAGAAATCAAGAAGTAAATGTTACAATACCCACTCCAAAGCTGAGGGAACAAATTGTCACAAATTTAATAAAGGGCAGTAGTGAAGGCATGAGCAATGTATAAGTAGCAGCTTCATATGCACAATAGAGCACCTGTACTGGAGTATTTATAGCAGCTCGTTCAATGTGACCCCTGAGAGCATAACTGACATTAGACACTGAAGGAAAATTACATGCCCGTCCAAGCAATGTATAAACCTTTCCATTTTGCACCGCTTCCTTTTTACGCTCTTCTTGCCATTTTAACACTTCTTGCCTACAGTTATACCATCTCTTTACTGTCTCTTTAGCTTCCTTAACAGACACCTGGCTTCCCAAAAAAATTTTATGGTGTTCAAAACTCCATCTACATATACAAAAACAACTGTAGGAAAATACTGGAACAGAAACCTTAGAAAATCTTGTAAATTACAAACTGTGCCAAATATAGTCGTCGATGGAAAGTGATAGAGAGGTCTTTGGTCGCAATGATAAAATCATAGAATCTAGGATGCATGAAGATGGAGAACAGGTTTTTGATCTCCGCAGAAATAAGTTATTCTAGTAAGTTTCTCTACCACACTTCATGGTTAGGCATCAGAATTAGTACGTAACAATGCAATTCAGAACATGAACTCTAAATGTAATTAGTAAAAATAACCTTCTATATTTATATTCTCTTCTTCTTCTTTTCCTTAAAAAGAGAGAGTTGTCACTTTCCCTGTTGTTTATTTCTAAAAGTCAAGAGACCCAAAAACGTGATGACTAAATAAGGTGGCAGCCCAAGTACACTATCCCCATTTATATTCATATGGATAGACTGGACAAAAGCACCATGCGTGTGAAAGGGGATCTTAGCTAATTCTATGATAAGAGTGCAGACATACCCTCACTGTGTTTAATGGAACAAATTTTATAAGCAAGTTGTCCTTTGATGGATGCATAACTACAGAGCTCACACCACAGCCTTCATGTCATATAAGTGCATATATCTACAAACCTATTTTATATAAATATAATCTATGCCTGGCCATTGGATAGTTTGTTAATGCAACTAACATATTAAGACATTTGTAAATGAAAAGCCTTTCCTCTAATTATCTTTTAGTAACGAGCTACGTTGCACGGAAACAGGTACCGGTATGTGTTCCTGTACAGGTATGGTACAGGACATGGCAAATTTGTAAAAGGTAGAGTATGGGACACAGCTATACAAATGTTTATCTACACATAAACGTATATTATATATTAAAATTAATAATTTAAGTGAGATTCATATTGTTTTCAATTCACGTGTCATGACAATTAAAGTTCTCATAACATTTTTATGTTTTTTTATTATCTGGATTATAAATTGGAAAACCATAATTTTCGATCTAAACACCTAAATGATCCTTTAAAATAATTGTTCGAAATCCAAACCATGTCCAACAAATTATAGGAAGTGGATGTGAAGTATAGCATGTGCATCCAAAAAATGTATCAAAAATGCTTTGACATAAAACATATATGGCATAAGTGAGTAAATGTCCGAATAAGTGTATTCATATATGCAAGGAGTGCCTGAGTTTGGGTACGAATAAGGGTACATGTACGGCTTCAATTAGGAGTGCCCATGTAACATAGATAACAAGTGACAACTCAATGGTTGATACGGGTGTATCTTCTCTGCTTCGGGAACTTAGCGATACCCATGGGAGCTTGAGAATGGATGATTCTCATGGTAACTTGATAATAGAACTTGAGAATAGAAGCGTAGGTCAGTACAGTTAGTGAACGCGGATTTGTTTGTGCGAATCCCAGGAAAATTCGAAGCTGGGAAAATGCCCCTAGTCCGTCGACCGAAGCTTGGCATTGGTCGACCGACAACAGCCACATGCAGGTTGCGAAAACAGCCGCACTAGACAGCCGACCGACCTCACCTTATCTGTCGACCGATGAAGACCTACCGGTTGACTGATAAGTCTTCATCAGTCGATCGATAGCGGGTTACTGGGCCAGTTAGGATTCCTAGTCTAGGCGAATCCTATTTGGGTTTGTCTTAGATATTTACCACTTTGTCACCCACGATGATTACTCTTTAAATACAGGTTGTTTAGGGTTTCTAAACATCAATCAGAACTTGGAGATTCAATAGAGAGTTGCTATTGTAATCTAGAGAGAATAAAGGGGTTGTTCTTTATTCTAGAGAGATTGTGAGGAAAGAGATTTGTAATCTATTGTTCTTCATAATCTAGAGAATATATTTTCCTTCGTCATATTGAATTGTTCTTGTGTTTGTCATTTTCTTCACAAAGACATCTTTGATAATTCTGCGATCAAAGGTACTCGCACGGTGATTCGTACCAAGTAGGTATCAGAAATCAGAACCTTCACTTGTCCTATGGATCATTACCATTAAATATTCACCGAACTTTTTCATTTATATTTCCATTGTATATTACATCCTGTTCTTTTTTTTTCTCATTTCTTTTTCTTTTTCCTTTTTCTTTTACTATGCAATCAGGTCTTGAATATATAATAG